TATTTTTTAGAAATGCTCTGTTCAATTTTGAAATATTTTATCGATGTGTATACAAGAAGTAAAGAAATTATGATTACAAGTTTTATATGTATATATCGATAGAACATATTGAAATAAAAGAGAAGTGTTTCTACGAATTATTTTTTTAAAGAAAGTTATTAATTTTTTTTAAAACGTATAAATATAAATTTTTAATTCTAAATTTTGATAATCGTTTTATTTTAATTATGTACAAAATTATGTACCTTATCTATTTCTAAATAGTATTAAATAAATAGTTAGAAATGAATATTTTAAATGAAAAATATTATTTTAAATAAAAATTATTATCATTATTAAAATATTTTTCATTTCTCTTCAATAAGTTCTATTATTCTATAAAATTTGTATCGAAAATTTCTTTACAATCCCTATACGTATAAGTGAATTTTAATATATTCATGCATTATTTACAGAAGTAATTATAAGACATAAGGCTTCGTATAAAATTACGTAGTATTAATTATTCGAAGTACACAGACGCAAAAGGTTAATAGAATTCATGTAAATAATTGTATTATATTGTATTTTAAATTTTATTTTAGACTCTATCGATTTGTTTTATTGACATTTATTGTGAATTAAATAAATATCATTATGCATTATTCTCTTTTAATTTGTTATACAAGAATTAGAAAATTCAACCCTTTGCGTATGAGTATTTGGCCTGTAGCGAAATTTTTTTTTTTTTTTTTTTAATATTTTGAATTGAACACTGTCGGAATCATTAAATTGTTCACTCTTGTTTTACAAAATTATTTTTACTACGAGTCTTTTGTTTGAACTGACTAATCTTTTTAGAGTGCAATTTGCAAAAGATTATTATCAGGGTAATCAATGAGTTCTCGAGTGTTAATTCTTATGATATACAAAAATAAATAAAAAATTTGAATCAAGTATATCAAGTAATCAAAATTTTATTAGGTAGATTAAATAAAAATCAAGTATCTTATAATGAATATGATAGAAATAAAACAAAAATGAAAAAAATAAACACAAGAAATAATATCATGAAATTGAAAATTCATTTATTCAAATCATTTACATTTTCATTCAAAGTTTTAAACATTATGAAAAACATTATTTTAAAATATTATAAAAAACATCGAAAGACGAAGAATTTTTTACAATGAAACGCTTAAATTAAAGATTAAAATTTGGTAATCGAAATCGCGTGCTCGATTTTCGATGAAAAATTATGCCCTAATAATTAAAAGGATTATTGAACGATTTTAATTAGAAAAAAGAAAAACGACGTTGAAATGAATTAATTATGAATTAATTAAAACAGAAAAGTGAATAATAATTAAGAATAATCAAATTATTAAAAATATTGACGAGACAACAAAAATTAAATTATATGTTTATTAAATAAAAATTATTAAAATTATAAAAGAGAAATTATTACTACTCTATATTAATTTGAGGCACACGTTACATATACATATATATATTTCCGATATTGTCCTCCGGAAATTAAGTAATTCAATTCGTTCATAAGTTCTTGCATAATGCTCCTTGTGCCATTATTTTCCATTTTTTTTAACATGTCAAAAAAAGATGAATATTAATTATCGATTATTTTAGATTAGACATGTTTTTGAAGGATACGAATATTTTGCAAAATATCGAATGATATAGGTACATTGTTCAATGATATTTTTACATACAAATACAGAAATGTATTTCACTTTTCAAATATGAAAATCTCTCTCTCTCTTTTTTTTTAAATATTTGTATAAATAGAAATCATGGATATTGTACATGAAATTATAATACAGAATTCTTTCTTCTTTCCTCTTTTTCTTTTTTTTTTCTTTCTTTGTCTGACAGACTTCTCATATTTGAAGGACTAGAAATGCTATAGAGAATTTATTTACAACTATAATCTTTTTCGTTCTTTCCTTCTTTATTATTTTTTTTTTGTTTAATGTTATTAGTTATAGTATTCATTATGTGCATCATTATTTAGCTTTAAACGATTAATATAAGCTTTTTAAACGATTAAATTCGGTTAACCACTTGATTAATTACACAATGCAATTTTAATACATTCTATTCGTTTTAAATATATATAAAGAATATATATTTCTTCTTTATTTGAAAAGTAATTTTAATTTTCAATGGGTTAATGCTAGAACTTGCTCTCCATAATATATATATAATTATGTACATATTGTATATAGGATAAACAATAAGAATTAAAATAGTATTATGAAAATAATTTTATGTTACGCGTATATAGTTATACATATAAATAAAAATTAATTGAATAATAATGATGCGTCTATTATTAATGAGATATGTTAATTATCAACAATTACTAATTATTATTAATAATAATTTCAATAATATAATTTTTTTAAAGTATTTACATATTTTTAATAAATAAAATTAATAAAAATAAAATATTTGCTTAATTATAGTTCTAGCGTTAACGTTAATTTTTTTTCAAAAGCTGCTTGATATTTCTCGTGTACAAGCAAACATATATTACAAATTATGTCTAATTTAATTAATTACTTTAGTGCACATAGCTTGAATTATTTTATTCAATCGAATATTTTCACATTTTTATCTTTGGTACAATTCAACAATGAAAATAGCAATTAAATATTTTATTGACAAAATTAAATGTTAATTTTTTGGTCTTTTCATTAGATCGAGTAAATCAGAAAGATAGAAATATCTGAGTGAATTTTCCAAGTTTTTTTAATTATAATTGATCAAAAAGTTAAACTGATCCATATAGTGCAACTTTACTAGCGTAATAACGTTCTGATATATCGAAATAATTTTAATTATTTTTTCTCCATTAAGATCTCTCATATTGTTATAGTTACAGATAATTGTTATGTTTCACGATTAGGAATAACATGTATAATAATAAATTGTTCGTAATATCATCGCAGAAACTGTACAATTTGTTTTCTCGAGCAAGGATGTTATCACTTTATGTTCTTTTATTTTTAAATATTCATTTTTGTTCGCATTTCGATACCACATATTGTCGCAGTTATTTACACATATTAAAATAATTACACATTCAAATTACGTATAATCAATATTTACCTCGGTCTTATTCTTTCTTTTTCTGTGTGTCTTGTTTCATCATATCATTTTCATATATATATCTTATCTGCTGTACATCGTATTTAAAGTTCCATACATTTTATTCAATATATTATGAATCTGATGTAACACGAAGAGTAACAAATACAATCTACAATATAATTCGAAGTATTATATGATCAAATCTCGAACGTTATTTACAACGCCATGCAAAAATTTTTCCTTTTCTTTTTCTTTCTGATCTTTCGATCTCTGTATCTTTGGTTTTTTTTCTTAAATCGTATTACGCTAAATTAGGATTTCATTGTGAATAATATTCTATAAACAGCGCGTTATGATGTATCTTTGTTATTTTTGTTAATTGATGTGTGTATACATATATATGTATATATATATGTATATATATATATGTATAATTATAAACAAAATTTCATAATGTGAACAATGAATGTGAATATTGATCGATGCTCAACGTTCGACACTTGACTTTATCGCATTTTGTGAAACAACATTAATGGGCACACTGTGTTTGTCGATAAGTATTTTAGGCGTAGTAGATGATAAATCGAAATGATGGATTTTTACACGTACATTCCCAAGTCGTTTCAAATTTCATTTTAGGCGGTGATCTGAAATCAGATAATTTCAATAATGAATTTAAAATTATTGTATCAAAGTGAATTTGTATTTTTAAATAAAATTTATATAAATGTATATTTTGAAATAAAATTTTTTTAAAAGTATACAATAATAACTCTAACAAATTTAATAATATGATAACTTTAAAATTATATGA